GGTCTCGAGGCGCGGCAGCAGCGTGCAGTTGCCGAAGTGCGCCAGCTGCACCCCCTTGCTGGAAACCATATCGAACTATACTGTAGCGACTGAGATTTATACACTGACTACCATTTGCGAAAATAACTTTTAATAGTGGTAGAAGCTGTTTTTTTATCTTCACACGAATAAGTTTGTCTGGTGAAATTCCACGATTATACAAAATAGGTGTGAAGTGGAAGTAATTCCGCGATTCGTCAGATAAGTGTGCGTGCACTCTTTATTTTTAGTCCTTTTCCCTTTCTAACAATACAAGGAAAAGATGTAAACGGAAAGTGGATACGCATAGGAATAAATAGGTTTGCCTCCTTTTATTATAAAAAAAAGAGGAAATATCCTGTTTATATGCGTCTCCGTCAATTAAGGGTAAAGCATCTGCATTTGTGAATGTCTATGGGCAGTCACTTCGCCATTTTAGCGAACTCAGGTTGACGCTTTCTCGTTTGCCACCTAATTGAAAAAAATGAAATTTAGTAGAACTTACAGGCAATTAGCAACCTTCAAATGACAGGAGTTAGGGTATACATTAGCATCAGTCCCGCAAACAGGGTCGAATTCTTCCCGACACTTCACTTTGAGGCATTTATTCATCTTCGACTTGCATTTCTCCATATCCACCTTCTTTACAACCTTTCTATTATTGACACTGAAATATTATTAGTTCAATGAGTTTTTACAGAGATTTAAAAACATATAAAAGGCATAGTTAACATTTCACTTGAAACATTTTTAACATAATCATTCATTAACGCCATCTATTGAAAGATCCTCGACACCATTAACTGTATTTAAATTAATTGCCAATAGATGTCACTACATAATATTTAAATGCGGAATACTGTTTAGTTTATTCTATAACAGATGGCGCTCATTATATTATATATTTAAAAGTTTTATTTCATGTCAATACAAGGACAAGAGGTGGCACTAAATTAAACAATTGATATAGTACCTTTCAGAGAAAGAACCAATGAGAAAGTTTTGTTCACCGCCTCGTATATATACTTTTTTAAATATCGTTGGTTTTCTGTTCGGACTACACATAACTGTACCTCAATACTTCTCGTTTCCTTCTAGAACTCACCCGCAGTTAAGCATCTTCATCTCGCACTCGTTCCTGTAGATGTTCTCATCGGAGCCGCAGACGAGCTTCTCCTTCTGTCCGGAGCAGTCTGTGGGACAAGACTCGCCGCCTGACGTCCTTTCTTGTGACACGCAGAATGCCATGGGGACTTCGAATACGTGTTTTCTGGAATACAAGAACTCTTCTAAATATATTATAACCATATTTCTTTAATTAGGTCTTTTTTGGTGCTGGAGGGAAATCCTCCGAAGATACCTTGTCCTCTGGGGGAAGGCAGATGTTGGATTTGATTCCACTAAAATCCTGAAGCTATCTTTAAGTGATGCTAGCTGTTCTCATGCGACTTCATTCGCATAAAATTATAAAATTTAAATTTTTTGTTCACATTTGTCTAATTACAATTACAAATATCAAAATGACACGACATGATGACAGCCTTGCTCTCTTGATGTTGGCAGCAACTTTGGTCTCTTTACCACATTAGGGTTTGTATCCAAAATATTTACCTCCTAACTATAATGGCGTGAAAATATATAGTCTAAAGCGTAACGTAAGTATAAGGCATTTATTAAAAAAAGAGTTATTCAAAAATATGCTGTAATTGCTGACATCTTAGGCAACAAATAATTGTGTGTTTACGCTTTATTATAATGGTATAGATAGTCGAAGGTTCCGGGATTTCCATGGGACCACATCCTTCAATTAGGTCTAGAATAATATTTCAATAACGTCCAACCGTTAGATGGTAGTTGATGTTAATTAAAATACATTGTTTTGAGTATTTACCCGCAGTTGGTTGCCTTCATCCTGCAGGCGTTGGCGTACAGCTTGCCGTCGGAGCCGCAGGTGGGGCGCGCCACGCGCCAGCACGACTCGCGGCAGTGGCGCGTCGTCTGACAGTGCTTCTTGTTTGTTCTCACCACGCCTTGCCTATATTTTTACATCTCATTTAATATTATTCTTTCAATAGTTTGATTTTATATTAAAACGGTAAAATTACTATTTTTGATTAAAATAATAATAATAGAAAATATCGAAAGATGGCGCTATTTTAACTATCTTCAAATTGCATGACTTATACCGATAGATGGCGTTATATTAAATTAACAATGGATGTCATAAATCAGTTCTAAGTAAAAATTACTATGAAGTTAGAATTATTTTTACAGTATAAGTAGCTTTGGTGACTACGTCCGGGTGGAATTAAAAAATAAAACAAAACTGAGTGGCTTATGTGTTCTTCCAAACTATGCTCTGCGTCTATACCAAATATCATCAAAATACGTTCAGCAGTTTAGGCTACAAACTCTTAGCATTTATAAGACTAGTATGTTTTACCCGCAAGTGAGCAGTTTCATCTGGCAGGTGCTCTTGTAGACGTTGCCGTCGGAGCCGCAGACGGGCCCGTCCAGCGGCGCCTGCGAGCAGTCCACGGGGCAGTTCTCGCGGTGCGCGCTGATGTTGTTGCACGCGCCCAGGTGCGACAGCCCGATACCCACTCTGCACACACACACACACAGGCAATTCACAATATATTACTACGAAGTAAAGGAAGGACAGGTAGTACATTCTTTTTTTTATAGTATAAAGTGGCAACGAGCAAGCGGCCACCTGAATCGACCGAAATGGAAGCATCTCCAATTGCAGATGCGTTGCCTACCCTTAATTGACGGAGGAGGAGAGGATATTTCCCCTTCCTATGCGTCTCCTCCACCGTCAAATCCACTTTTCCTTGTCATCCTTTCCTCTTGAGAAAAGGTTGAAAAGGGATAGGGACTAAAATTAGGCCTCCGCCACCACACTCAGCAGACGGAACGCGGAATTGTTTCCACTTCACGCCTGTTTTCGGTGTGGTCGTGGTATTACTGGGGGCGAGCCGGCCCTGCAGTGCGAAGATGTTAAAGCGGGCTCTACCACTGTTAAATTAATTTCTTTTATTAATTCTGCCAATATAAATGTAACCTAATATCTCTAATCTGTGTAATCTTAAGATGTTTGAGGTTTAAACAAACCTGCATATTTCGACTTGCAACATGCATCTATTGAGGTATGTCCGTCCGTTTGTGCCGCAAACTGGATCCCTTTCCGCGGTACATCTGTGTTCGCACTTCGAGCCCTGAGCTCTAGAACAAGCCCCTAAATCCTGAGCCAATTTCACTCCTGAAAAACATGAATAACAACTTTTTAACAATATTTTAAACTTTTGTTGAAAAGTACACTAACGCCTGTGAAAATGTTAAGAGCAATTGTAATGGTATTAAGGTCTTTAAAACAATCTTTACAAGTAACTAGCTTTCGTCTGCGCCTGCATATTAGTGAGATATCATTGTAAATGAGCCGATTTATTACCAACCAAAACTAAAGACACAAAATTATTGAACGGAATTTTAAAAATCTTCCAGTACTATATATCGTATTATGTTGCGCTAGTATTGTACATATGTTAGTACTATGGCACTAAGTACGTAGTACTTTCTCAAATTCTTGTATTTAAAAGGACGTTACCTTTCCCACAAGTCTTCTTTCTCATCTCACAGAGCGAAGGGTAAATGTACCCGTCAGTGGCACACACCGGGTCTCCTTGCAGCGCCGGCCCGCAGATACGAGGGCAGGTGGCATCGCGCGCGCCCTCACATATAGATGACACTGAAAAATATAAAAGAAAAACGTTTGTACATTAATTTATTAATAGATTAGAGACCTAATTAAGCAGTGAGTGAAGAGAAAATGATAAATGATAAATTGATCTGGGGGACCAAATTTGGTGCGTTGACCTTACATGTCTTTTTAGAGATGATGCAGAATTAATCGAGAATCATAGAGTAAAATATTAAATGTCATTATTAATATTGTTTATTTATTTTAAATTTACATTTTGAATACCAAGTTTATTTAACGAAGATTTAATTCAATTTTGTTTGGAAATTTAAATTACTATAAATCGTGTGGTAACACGTGAAAGCCTTTGAATGTCTTTTCTAAGCTGTTAAATTCTCCGCTAAATATAGACAATGATAAGAATCTCTACATGCCATGCATTGTCTTTACTTTGTGGCCATAAAACGTACTAATTTTGCTATCCCATGTAAATTAGTAAATATAGAAAAAGTAACTCCCTAAAGTAATGACAATTGTGAATACTTTAAACGGTAGTCCTCAACATAAATTTATTAGCGTAATTATACAGAGTTCTTACAATGCCTCATTAATGAATCTGAGTGCAGAAGTAAGTGATGTATCGAATTTAATTGTCAAAAGCATTAAATTAATTCGTAGGCAAATATTTACAGAACTGGAAACAAAGAACGCAGTGACAAATCGTTCGTTTCGTGGCCTCAAACTAAACAACTACTGTGTATTAAGACCAGAAGAGTACAATCTCCTGTTTCGTGGCCACAAAAAAAAACTGGGTTTTAAGACCAAAAAATACAATCTCCTGTTTCGTGGCCACAAAAAAAAAACAACTGGGTTTTAAGACCAGAAAGTACAATCTCCTGTTTCGTGGCCACAAAAAAAAACAACTGGGTTTTAAGACCAGAAAGTACAATCTCCTGTTTCGTGGCCACAAAATAAGTTAGAGTACTGCCAGAGGCGGTTCAGCGGACCGGGAAAGTCCATTAGGTGCTCTGTACTTATTTATATTTAAGCGATAAAACGCTCAGCTCCATACATTATCCGCCTCCTTACTTAATAAAAGATAAGCCGCATTCCTCGCTAATTAAATTTACTGGAGTTTTGTTTAACGATTTAAATTCTACAATTGATAGGACTGTGGTATTTAATTAACACAGAAAATGCTTTTAGCAGTTTTATTGTGATACCTAGAACGCTACTAAAATTAAAATATTCGTTTACCGTGTGTACATCAATTTAAATTACTTTGTATTTTAATTTTACATTTAAACATTTGAAAATAATACTAGCGACGCGTCCCGACTTGGCACGGGTACAATGTTGATATGAAAATGTGATCTCATGTTGATGTACAAACTCTATTGACATTCTATACTATTTATTTATTTATGTCTGTTATTTTACTTTAGTATGAAGTGCCATATTTATGTATATATACGGCAAAATTCTCGTTCAGTTCCTGATTTCGTTCATACCTTTTAAAGGGTGATCAAATCATTTCAAATTCGGGAATGAGAATTGAATCGGATATAACATTGCAAGGTAAATTTCCGCATAGCGACAGACTAGGTGAAACCTTTCAACGTTCTGAAAGTACGGAAAATATCCAAAAAATGCAGGTATACATTGTCTGTTACCTATATAAAATTTTGGTCCAAATGTTTGTTTGTATATAATCACTTTAAAAACTAAAATTAATACAAATCAATTAAAAGAAACAGAATGTTAACGCTACGTATATACCTCAGATTATATTTTAAAATAGAAATAACGTACTAAAGGTAAAAATTACTCAGACAAACCTACAGTCGAAGCTATGATTAGTGAATGCAATTGCCTTTTATAAAGGAATTATGACCCCAGTGGCCTTAGGTGTGAGAGGAATGGGGCCATTTCCCTATCAGTCGTCAATCGTCACATATTGTTGCATCTGCATACGGTATTGACCTATCGTTATTGTGGATAGATTAGGATCAAGGTTTGATAGTTTTAATATTTAAAAAAAATCTTTGGATCACTTGTAAATTTTCAATAAGCAGAGTATTGTTGCCATTCTCTTCGAACTGTTCCGAACAAGAATAAAATCGTAAAGACTCGACAGTGGCCCAACTCGCTAAGGGAGTGCCATAGACAAGAAACTGAACTGATAGTTTTAATATTAATGTGATTGCGATTTCTTATATTTGTGTATTTAAAGTTGATCAATATGCCTGCCATTTTTCTAACGACATATTTACGATTATAAGCTTGCTATCAAATATTAATTTTAATTTTGTGTTTATTGGGTACATTACACAGAGTAGAGACTTTGCCTTCGCTCCCCATATAGTCTCAATTTTTATAATCAGTAAGGTGTCTTAAATATATTATGCATATATATTTTAACCGTGGTAGTGCCCGCTTTAACATCTTAGCACGAATGGGCCGGCACGCCCGGTGTAATACCACGACCACACAGAAGATAGGCGTGAAATGGAAGCAATTCCGTGTTTCGTCTGATGAGTGTGGTGAAGGCCTAATTTAAGTCCCTTTCTCTTTACCACCCTTTTCTTATAAGGAGAGGTTGGGAAGGGGAAGTGGATTTGACGGTGGAGGAGAGGCATAGAAAGGGGAAATATGCTCTTTATGTGCGTCTCCTCTTCCGTCGTATAAGGGTAGGCAACGCATGTGTAATTGCGGATGTCTATGGGCAGCGGTCGCTTCGCCATTTTGGCGGCGCGCCGCTTGCTCGTTTGCCACCTGATGTTATAAAAAAAATGCAATTAGCTCTATCCTTAGTTAAATACAGATAAAATGATAAGATAGAACAGTAAAATAAGACAGATTTTTACTGGTTTTAAAGCTTGCGTACTAATAATAGAAGTACTACTGACTTGTTTATTCGTGTGAAATTGGTCTCATAATTTATACCATCGTTTCGATTGTCGATTGTTTCGCAGCCAATTCAACTGTTCAGTTGCACAACTAAAAATCGAGTAGCGCACCTCCATATAAGCTCATAAGAAGCAAAGCGAGACTAAACAATTGTGCGATAGTTTAGTCATCAGCGATGTAACTCTGTCAGTTCTTGACATGTGACAGCTGTTCTCGTAACTCCAGTCAAAACTCAATAAAACTTTCCTCGCTCGTGTTCAGACAAATTGCGAGTTAAACTTTAATTGCAACTCGAATGAGGGCGCAAGAATTTTTCTAACGACTTCGAAACTAGACCGTTTTGTTCCGTGCGGTACTTTTATTACTTGATTGTGAAGATAAAAAAAATCAAGTCATAAACTTTTTAATTTTAGTTTTAAAATGACAAGCGTAATGCTGAAGTGAATAATGTAAAGGAAATATTTCAAGCGATACTCCAGCACAATCTTCACAGACAATAAAATTTTAGGTTATGTTTGGTAACTAGGCTTTAGTCAACGTAGGCCCATTGCGGTTTGATTGACTACAGAGACCTTTGTATTTTTTTCGCAGAACAGTTAAGTAGTGACATTAATAAAAAAAAACTTCTTTATTTGCTTATGTCACACAGTATTTACAATAATTGGTAAAATTACTTGTTAAAATAAAAACATTGTTACACTGCTCACTTCACACCGTACACTCTTCGCGCCTAAATCCTTGTTGTTTTTTTTTTAATTCGTATTAAGTGTATTGCTTTTTTTGTCGGCCAGTACGATATTGAATATTCATCCACAATATTTTTGCAACTTAAACAATTATAATTTTACAATTAACTTCCTTATAAAACATGTTATTATTTAATTTTAAAATGCTTTTACTTTTTAATTAACAAAAATCTTTTCACAACTGTTTTCAGCGCCATCTATTATCAATTATTGTTAAACTAGATATGTAAATCAGGATGTTTTCCCTAACGTAATTTACAGAATTAGATAAAAATTGTCATTATTTAACTTTTAAATATTAATGTGAAATTCCTTTTAATATTGGATTTAAAAAAACACACACAAAAAATAGGAGCAGCCGTTATAATAAACAGAAGCAACCAAACAGAGATCTAACTCAAACAATTTTTGGAGGCAAATGTATTTGGTTTACAAACAATGACACCGTATCTGATGTGGTGTTAAATCGACTCCAATTCTCAGATATTGGTTTAACCGACTGATACAAAATTCCCATTTAATGCTTATTAGTTTGGTAGTACTGTTCTGTATCGGTTTAAACAAAATAAGGCGAATTTAGTGTGCAAATACTATATGACCCAGACCAGTAATATAAACCTCTATTATGTTCAGTAATCTTAGTAAAATTATAAATGCGAAAGTTTGTTAGAGTTTGTAGTCTTAACGGCTCAACGAACCCCGATTATATAGTCTGGAAAAACACGTAGGCTGCTCACTTTTGTTTTTTTTTTAATTCCACAAAGACGGAATCGGGAAAAAGCTAGTATAAATAATTTAGACAAGTAAGGTTGGTAAATTACTATTTATAGTAACAGTAGCTTACGCTCGCTACTCCGTCTGAGCGTAATTAAAAAAAAGTAAGTGATCTATCTGTTCTGTACTATTCTCTACATCTATGCCAAATGACAGCGAGATCCGTTTAGCAGTTTAGTATACAAACTCCATCCATCTAAACATTTGTAATATTAGTAAGATTTGGGGCCTGGTGATCAAGGGCGGTTCCAGCCTTGGCGCCAGGGGGGTTACATAGTCGTGGTCAAGTCAAGAGCTTGACAAAATATGTAAATATATTTTGTCAACCTCTTGACGACCTCGGGGAGGGGGTCATGATCCCCATCACCCCCCCCCCTCTGAATCCGCCATTGCTGGTGATACATCTCACAGAGTGCCACCCTAATTTGAACACCAGTCCCCTGCCCAAAGGGAAAAACAATAAAGCTATCCTATTTTTTTTCTTACCGTATTTGGCAACGTTTTACTTTTAAATATGTATAACTATACCGTTCAGAAGTATTTTGAATCATTTAATTGCCACCAATTCTCATGATTTCCATTAACTACGTGACGAAAGTGAACTCATCAACATTCAGT